AACAGAATCAGATTTTGTTTCTATACATACTTCCAGAGTACTGTTATTATACAAAGAAGTCAGACAGGACAGAATACACACATAAAAATGAGAAGGGGATTAAATGAATATATAATCTGAAATAATATGCCTGAGTAGATCCCCTGAAAAAGAATTGAAAACAAGCAGGCTTAAGGAAAAGCAAGCAAGCAAGCGAGATAGATTTCTGAAAGCAGCAGCTGAGATGAATAAGCTAAATAAAAAACAAAAGGCTAAATAAAACATTCCTTTTTTTGGTAAAATGCCTAAAAATGAAAATATAAAACATAAGCTCTAGCTTTCTCAAATAAAAACGGCACATGGAATACTTAAAGTAACTCATTAAACCAGTACACAGGAAAGATTGTTGGAGAGTTTGGGAAATATGGTTTCAGTATGTCTTTTCCTAGTTAACTTTTACTCATTCTTCAGATGTTGTCTCAAACTTAACTTCCTTAAGTTTGCCAGTTAAAAGCTTTTATAGCAATGTGTATCTACAGCTTTATAATCATTACTTTACGGTTTATAATTATATATAACATGTGTGATTTATGAGTGACTGTGAGCCTCCCTCCTAGACTATAAGCTCCACCATTATATCCCTGGGCCTTAAAAGTACTCAATCAGTATTTCCTGGAAATTAATATTAATGAGGTTTTGGAAAGGCTTTGTTTAACTGTTAAGAAGAAAGTCTCCTAAGTCTTTAATCGTGTGTCAGGGACACAGAAAATGATACCTTATGACAGTTTATTTTGATTTCAAGTTATTTATTGCCTTCTCTTGGGTCCTTGAAGGATAGGAGTAGAGTGATTAAAATAACTCTAAATATACAACAATACGGCACAAACTTGGAATCAACTGTCATTCAAACAAGTCTGGGATTTACTCGCTTTCACTCAGTCTTCCTTAAGACCCATGGCATGAATTTAAAAATACATGTAGTTCAAAGAGCCTAGAGATTGTGACAACAACAGAACAAAGTAAACCTGTCTGGTACATGCAGAGACTAAATCTACCAGCTCGAAGTGGAACTTAGCACATAACAGACATCCAATAAACACCTGTTGAATGAATCAGTGATTTAATACATTGAGCTACCCAATTTCACACAGTAATTACAACCTCCACTTTGGGGTTATTTTTGTTTTATTGACTCATATCCCTGGGCCTTACACATTACTCACTCAATTAGTATTTCCTGAATAAATGGATGAAGAAATAAAAGATGATGATATGCCATTATATAGAGGATTTTTTTGTTTTATTTTAAAATATTTATTATTTTGTTGTTATTTTTAATTCATCACCATATGTTATTTCAAATTTTCTTGGCTCCATCATCCCTAATTCTGCATCTTTAATATTTCTCTGTTCATGAATTCTACCAATGTCTCACCTACTAGGTTTTAAGTTCACTGAGAAGTAGGCCATACATTTTTCAGTTTCATCTCCTTACAGTGAATAACATGGTACTTTGCAAAAAATGGGTTTTTAGCAAATGCCTGTCATATAAATAAATTAGAGAAATATAACTGGGCACTTTCCCATTAATATTGAGATCTTTCTGGAGCACTTCTGTCTTACTACATGTATTTTTGTTTTATCATACACAAAAATAAAGATTTGCATCTACATTTACTTATCAAATGGAACAATGCTATGTGAATCTCTATGAAAATCTATCAACATTTATGACACAAAATAAACAGTTTCAGGAACAAACTCTAAATATGTTTAGGTACAAACTCCATTACATCAAACACCCTACCCAGGCTGGTAACTATGGAACAGGTCGGTGACTAACACTAGAATTACACTGAGATTCAGATGTTCCTAGATATGCTTAATATTATCTGGCTTTATGAAATTAATATATTTAGTGTCCAATAAAAAATATAACCCTTCTTGCTTGAAGAGTTAAGACAAAAGATAGATATTCTCTGCTAAAATAGTAAAAAATGTAAAAATTGAAAGTATCTGTGTCCATCTTGATCTTTCATAATGTTCACATAATGTTCACAGCATGCAGAGTTTCACCACATGTTAAAAAGTAACTGTGTGATGCATACAAAAAAAACCCAGCTTCAAAATAATTGGCATCCTACACCATAGTTGACAATGTTGCTAAATACCATTATTTGTGATTGATGAATACCTCAAACTTAAATATATAAATTCTAAAACAACACTTTCATTATTTTTTAAATTTCACAAATAAATCTCATGGAAACCAAAAAGACATTTTTTAAATTAACTTTTCGAATTACATGGATATTTCTTACAAAATACATTTGTATTTTTTCTCAGATAAACTCATCAAACAATGGTAAAAATGCTTAATATTTGCATAGCACTTTATACCTTACAAAACATGTACTTACTGATTTGATTCCCACAATCATGATACAGGCTGTTAACCCCATTACTTTCCAAACCATGGACCTTCTAAAGTGCAGAACTGGGATGGAATCCCAAGTCTTACGATAACAAGTTCAATGCTTTTTTCATGTTATTTGGTATTTTTCTCATTTTCTAAAATCTCAACTTTCTTTATGTCTTCCCCTCTTAGGACACCTATCCCCTCATTTATGTAGAGCCTTTATAATCTACTATTAGATTATAAACTCCTTGATTGGACTATAATAGGCAACCATTAAATATCTGATAATGAATTCCCCCATTTATTGGCCCCTTTCAAGCAACATGTATATGAGGAAGGAAATGGTATAATTTTAGCTCACGGAATATTTACCCACACAAAACGAAAAAGAATAAAAAACTCTCCCAAAAGTCTAGATCATATCAAAACTCCTATTTTCTACTGATTGAAGAACACAACATTATATAGTAAGAATTAACTAAATAAAATTAGGCAGTGGAAAACCTGAGACATTCACAGAAATACAAGCACTCTCATCCTAAACAGAGATCTTTGCAAAATTTCAATGACAGAAAGAAGCTGAATAAAATCTTCAAATGTGAACCTGCAACAATGTCTTATTTTCAGGATATATTATGCCGTTCATTTTAGTCACTTAAAACAAAGTGAAAATATTAAAGACAACTGGTAATTTGCAAGTAAACCCTTTCCTTTTTGTTTCTAAGAATACTAATTTAAATTCCTACAGTTACATTTTAAACTATAAGTGGTAATAGGGAAATATTTCAGTCTTATTTAATGTATGACATATTTTTAAAACAGTAACTTTCAGAGCTTAGAAAATAGAGGGAGACATTCACATAAATTTTAGTTTATACTTTACCTATGACCTTTCCTTCTACAATTCGCATACCATTTTATAAATATTGCTGGCACGGTCACAGGTTGGAACAGGGAAGCTTGTCTACATCCATAACTTAAAGGCACATACAAATTATAAAAGAGTTTGCCAAGGAAATAAGGAATGACATATTACTAGAAACAGCAGGTTGGATGTACGAACATAGGAAAATATGATTTTGAAGTTGAGGTCTGAATACTACACAAAATTAACAAGGCTATGAAAATTATAATATAAACCTTAATGGATGTATTCCTTTTAACCCATCTGAATGGCATCTATTTTCATTTAAATATAATTTCTAGATGTGAATATATGAAATGCCACTGTATACTGTGAAATGGTTACTTTCATGGTATGTGAATTTCACCTCAGAATTATAGATATATATACATTAATACATACAAATCTACCTAAAACCCTCTGACCTTTATCTAATGATAATGGTTCAATCTTTTTGTAAGATAATTAGTATCATTCCAGTGCCTGGACATAAAATGAAATCTTAAACAGACAGCTTGAAAATGCACACTATTTGAAATGCTGGAGTAAAAAATGACAAATAGAGGCCTTCATATACCAAAATTACTAAAAATTTCTCCGTGGGTAAAATTAAACAAAATTTTGAGATTACTCTTCATCTGTTCAATGCTTAATCAAAAATATAACAAACTTAAGTAGTTTAGCAGTACTTAAAGTTCAATAAATAAATTAGTTTAGAAGAAACAATGTGAATAAATCAGTTTAAACATTTTTCATCTATCTCTATTATTGTTTATTAATGCCAATAACCTAAATTAATAATAAAGCTAATTCAAACTATCATTGTCCCATTTATTAAGGAATTTCATTATCCCTATTTAATAACATATTTCTTAAAAATCTCTCATGATACATTTTTTTTAATTTATTTATTTATTTGAGAGAGTGAGCGAGAGAGAGCACAATCTGGGGGAGGGTCTACGTAGAGGAAGAGGGAGGAACAGGCTCCCCACTGAGCAGGGAGCCCGATGCAGGACTTGATCCCAGGACCCCGGGATCATGACCTGAGCTGAAGGCAGACACTTGACTGACTGAGCCACCTAGGTGCCCCTCTCATGGTACATTTTTGACAGGAATTTCAAGGGCCAATTTCAGGAGCATAAAAGGAAAAATTGTGATAATCGTATTTTTAGTTTTTAATTTAAAATAGCTTTAATGTTCAAGTTTAACTTAAAATATTTTAAATGTTTGGAGCACTGGGTGGCTCTGTCAGTTAAGCTTCGGACTCTTGATTTTGGGTTAGGTCATGATCTCAGGGTTGTGAGATGAAGCCCTACATCGGACTCTGTGCTCAGCTAGGAGTTTGCTTGAGATTCTCTCCCTTCCTCTCCCTCTGCCCCTCCCCCTGCTTGTGCTCTCTAAATAAATAAATAAAATCTTTAAAAATATGTATATTTTAAATGTTTATACATTTAAATTTCATTTAAATTTATAACAACTATTTTTAATTTATAATACCTTAAAATACATATGTCCTTAATAAGATCAGCATTTCAGTGAATTTTGACACACTGTATTGAAGGAATTCAGAAAAAAGTAAAATTAAGTACTAAGCATAAAATGTTATGGGCATTTATCACAAACTATTCATTATTTTACTATAATTATAGCATAATGAACAACATCAAAATATACATGTAAACTAAATTGGAAACGTACATCAACAAATTGTATGATAAAGTGTCTCCTTTGTCCATCAGAATATACAGAAAGGACATATTCACCAGGTTTCCCATGACTCTCTCGCACCAAGAAGTCTCCTTGTTGTTTTAATAGATCTTGCGCTTCTATTCTGGGAATTGCTCCATGGTACCAGTCCTGTTCTGCCAGGGGCTTCTCACTTATAGGGATCGTATCAGAGAACTTGAGCAAACATTGAGAAAAAATAAATAAATAGTAAATTAGAGAAAATAGGAATTCTTCCTGGTAAAATTGATAGCAATTATAAATACTTCTTATATACGTTCCTCTTTTTAATCGACCAATTAAAAGTTTCACGATGAATCTAAATTTTTCATAATTTTTAAAGAAAATATCTCTTGGAACACTGGTGCTGAAGTTTAGCTCAAATACATATCTTTCAATACTTTGAATTTATTTGTTTATTCTATCTATCATACATAGATGCACACAATATTAGCATTCAGTGTTAGAATTTATAGTCTTATTCACCATATTATAAAAGAAATCCACATATTTAAAATTTACCAACCAGAGAATTATGATAAAAGGGGGTATTATCAGAGAAATTTGTCACAAAACAATTTCATTTTTATTCAAATTAAAAGTTAATTATTTTTATGGAATAAACTTTAAATGACACAGTCTGTAGAATGCCCATGTTGTATGTTCCAGAAGCAATACTGAAGGTATCATTTGATGCTACCTTGCTGCTGTGCCTTCCTATTCTTACCCTCATTCCCCCTGACTGCCTTAGCCATTATCACTGCCACATGGCTGGTCCTGATCCTGAAGAGCAATGGCCAATAAAGCCATAGGAGAAATAGCATCACTGGAAATCACCAACACAAAATTATAAAAAAGTAGCAAAAACAGGAGAGGACTATAAGCCAGGATTATGGCAGGAAAAGCAGATCATCTGTTATTTTAGGATACCACATGCTACTATCAATTAACAGATAACTAAGGAGTGAATTAGATGTCCTTGAAATGTTTCTAATTGATAATAGATGGAAGCACATTTTCTAGTTACAAGTAAAAAGTGTGTTTGTTTTTATCATCCAAAGAACTAAATTGCCCCAGATGGTTAAGAGTACTATATGGGTAAGGTACAATAATGTGCACTGACTCTTAAGATACTTCGAATACAATATGCACAATGTCTCATGAAAAAGTAATTTATAAATTGGAGAAATTAGAATTAATAATAAATGAAAGGCAAATATTCACACATACAGTATCGCAGAATGATGTTATGAACTCTATATAGGGAAAAAGTATGATATCTTTGCGGTAAATGAGAACTAGTTCTGATGATAGCCTTCATTGTTTTGTACCAAGGAAGAAGCCCAAAACTTATAAGTCAAAGTTCCATTTTACATTATCCAAAACCCATCCTATTGATTTAAAAAAAGAAACTTGAAAAGTCCCAAATGGACTTCAAAGAAGAGCTCACATTTTGGTTTCTACTTCTTCCACTTATGATACACTTAATTACTTAAATATATACATGGTGTGACTTACACAGAAATTTTTTGTAAGCTAAATAAGGCTTCTCTTTTAGTACAAATTATGATAAATATAATACTTCAAAAACATTTTAATCAGTGTTTCCAAAAATAGATTTAAAGAACAAATTATACAGAGAACCAGCCACAAGTATGAGGTAAAAACAAATGCATAATCCACACAAAATTAAATTTTTGCATATACTGATACTAATAGTTCATAACTCTTAAAATAGGCAGTCAAAATTATTAAATATATCTTTTCCAAAATTTTATCACACTGTACTCAGTATAACACCAAATTGTTTACTATAATAGAAATATTTCCAAGTGTTTCCAATGGCGAAAGTGTTTTGATTTTTTCTCAGAAAAATAAGAAATTCAACGTCACCTCCTTGCAAAGAACTTGTTTTCATCATTATCTTTCAAGAAGGTCTACATATTAGAAAGGCATCACAAAGAAGGATGTCATGTGCTTGATTTCTTGTCCTCCTCAACCTATCCTCCCAAATGTTGATTTATTTAGAACAGTAAAATGCGGAGCCTGGAGAATTCATTAAGTCAGAAGGGCATTTGAAGTACAAAAGCTCAGCTAACACTGAGAAATTCATTTAAGGATTTGAATGTGAAGAATCTGTTTGGGGGAAAAATTATCCCTTTGAAAGAACATCTGTATTTGTTTATTTGTTTGCTTAAAAAAGAAGTGAATGGGAAGGAACTTATATTACTATATCACAGGGATTACACACCAGTTCTTTCGATTTATTAGTTTCTTTGAAATAGAGATCTGATACCGTTATAAAGTATAAGCTGGGGGTACCCGGGTGGCTCAATCGGTTAAGCATCTGAATCTCGATTTTGGCTCAGGTCACGATCTCAGGGTTGTGAGATCGAGCCTGGTTGTGGGGCTCTGCACTCAGTGCAAGTCCACTTGTCCCTCTCCCTCTGCTTCTCGCTCCCTGCCCCCTGCACCATGCCCCCGGAGCATGTGTGCACACTCTCTCAAATAAATAATGATCTTTAAGAAAAAAAAGGGTAAGCTGAACAGTTTGTGAGTGTATGCGTGAGTACATGTGTGTGCCTACACATACACAGGGAAAGGCCCTACATATGCCCAGTCTGGGTTTATCAGGTTTTACAGGGACTTCTCTGCAAGCATTGGAAGGAACGTTTTTATTAACATGATTTCAATTAAATTCCAACACAATTCTGCAAGCTTGTTAGTAATAGAATGTAGAATGCATCAGCACAAAATCCAACATCCCAAGAGCCATCATAATTACATGAAAAAGGAAATGAAGCTCTTTACTTCAAATATCATATCTTTCTAATCCTCAGTAGGGAAAGATTTTTCCTTGTCAGTAAGTTATCTAAGATTTTTGCCCAAGATATGGGGGGGTGGTTCCTTTTTTGAAGTTATAGTTAATCTAACACAGTTAATTAGTTATATTTAATAAGACAAGCTTTCCTGATTGGGCTAGCTGTTTAGTTATTTTCCCTGGGCCTTATTCTTAAAGAACACTCCAGTAAAAACATATTGGGCCTAGTGAAATAAAAAGATTCATTTAAGTGAAGAGGCAATGAGGAGTCAGTACTAGAAAATGGAAATATTTTTTGGGGGGAGGGGAGAATAAGGGCCTTTTTTTTTCCTTAACCTATTCAGCCTAATTTCCAAGTATGTAATGAAAATCGGTATGGCTTTACTTATTTCTTCAAAGATTGTATTTATTTATTTATCTGAAAGAAAGAGTGCACACACTCAAGTGGAGGAAGGGGCAGAGGGGATGGGAGAGAGAGAATCTCAAGCAGACTCTGTGCTGAAAGTGGAACCCAATGTGGTGCTCCATCTTACAACCGTGAGATCATGACTTGAGCCGAAACCAAGAGTCAGAAGCTTAACCTACTGAGCCACCGAGGGGCCCCAAATTGTATGCCTTCATTGCAAACATTTCAGTGCAAGATGAGCTCCTTTTTGAGAGGCCAAAAAAAATGTTAAAAAAAAAATCAGGGCAGCCATCAAAAGGAATGAAATCCTGCCGTTTGCAACGACGTGGATGGAACTGGAGGGTATTATGCTGAGCGAAATAAGTCCATGAGAGAAAGACATGTATCCTATGACCTCACTGATATGAGGAATTCTTAATCTCAGGAAACAAACTGAGGGTTGCTGGAGTGGTGGGCGGGGGGAAGGATGGGGTGGCTGGGTGATAGACATTGGGGAGGGTATGTGTTATGGTGAGCGCTGTGAATTGTGTAAGACTGTTGAATCACAGATCTGTACCTCTGAAACAAATAATGAAATATATGTTAAGGAAAAAAAAAAGAAGAAGAAGATAGCAGGAGGGGAAGAATGAAGGTTGGGAAATCAGAGGGGAGACAAACCATGAGAGACTATGGACTCTGAAAAACAAACTGAGGGTTCTAGAGGGGCGGGGGATGGGAGGATGGGTTAGCCTGGTGATGGGTATTAAAGAGGGCACGTTCTGCATGGAGCACTGGGTGTTATATGCAAACAATGAATCATGGAACACTACATCAAAAACGAAAAAAAAAAAAAATCAGGGGCATCCGGCTGTCTCAGTTGGTAGAGCATGAGACTCTTGATCTCAGGGTTATAGATTCAAGCCCCACATCAGATATAGAGATTACTTAAAAAAATAAAATCTGGGGGCACCTGGGCAGCTCAGCAGGTTGAGCATCTGATTCTTGATTTTGGCTTAGGTCATGATCTCAGGGTCCTGGGATTGAGCCCCACTTTGGGCTGTGTGCTCAGCATGAAGTCTACTTGAGATTCTCTCTTTCCCTCTCTCCTCCTACCTCCTGCTCATGCACACTCTCCCTCTAAAATAAATAAATAAAATCTTTAAAAATAATAAAATAAAATCTTAAAAAAAATCAAACTCTGTATTCTACTAAAATCAGGCACCCAAATAAGAAACGACTAAAAAAAAAAATGAAAATAAAACAGCATGGAAAACATATAAATAAGCCTCTCAAGGAGCTTGAACAAGCTAAATAAAACTTCACCACAAATATAAAAATTTTTAATGAATTTTTAATAACCATTGACATTTCATTCTCTTTTCTATTCTTACATAAATTTAGTTATTAATTTAATAATCTAAGTAAAGAATTATTTCAAATCTAGTTTAATGTTATACTGTGGAGAGAATAAATAATTCGGGATTGTAAACATTTCTAAAAAATTCCATAAAGACCCCTTTAGTTTTAAAGCTATATATCACTGGAAAATTTTAGAATAGGCATCAAACGTCATGCAATCATAAGAGAATCACTTACTTGCAAAAGGTTGGAATAGGTCTATTGAATAGGAATCTGGCTGGTGGTAGTAAAAGCTATTTTCAGTGAAAGGAAAATGTAACCATAGGTAGAAAGCATATTTTATACCATTTAGAGTTTGATAGCTGAACAAATGCTTAACGTAAAATGAGAACATGAATAACAATGTTCTTCCTGCTACATTTTTCCAAATTTCTAAATAACTCCTTTTTGAATTTCTGGAATGAGTTATATCTTAAAACAATGAAAAATAAAAACTATTCTTGATATTTGGATCTTCATGATCATTGCCTCATGCTAGACAAACAGGATGTAAATTAATTAGAGCAGTATCCGGTCTTTAAGAGGCACTAAGGCCTATCTGCAGTTCTACAA